TTTCTTTAAAACTTCCCAGGTAACTCTAGAAGGGCTGAGAACCACTGCATTAATCACACACTCTGAGAAATACATTAGCAAAAATAGATTAATGATGTTGTGTAGTAGTAATTTTGCAAGGCCCTGAGGGTAATGGTAAAAAAAAAGATTGGTAAAGTGGGCCAACTCTAAACAAATTATGGAGTAGGCAGTTTAAATTCAACCCTCCCGACTTTCCCCTCACTTTTTGCCTCTGAGGAAGCCTGAAATTAAAACAGCTTGCCTTTTGTTCCATTAACAGCCACAAAGAATATAAGGAGTCCCACATTATATCCTTGACCAAATCTGTCCACCGTTGCTTTCAATAAGAGAATGAAAAATTAAAATGTTCATTTCTACAGTACAGCCAGACTTTTACTTTTCCCTAGAAATCTCAGGAATCCAGATTTCCTGTAAGTCTTCCCAAATCCTTTCACCACAGATCAGAGGTCAAGTCAAGGTAGCAATAAAAGTTTGGGAAAAAATGTCCTTTCCTCTGGTTTTCCTCTTCCTTCCCAGCCCTTTAGAATAACAGTTCATTCTCCTCCCGAAGGCGAGAACATTCCTCATTAACCCTGATTCCTTCCACCAACACCAGTCTTACCCCCAACAAAAATTCCTGTCACTCCTTTACTAATTTTGTACTGACTTTTTAAATCAATTTTTCTCTGTAGGCTCTGAAAACCAAAAGCCTTCAAGATCCAAAGAAGTGAATCGATAGTAAGAAATTTTAATCCACTCAATGAGATGAAGATAGAGAGAATCAAAGGAGAAGAACCGAAGATAAACTTTATCTCCTTACAACTCAAAGAATAGACAGCTCTGGTCTATATAAAACCAAAATTAACTGTAATGTGAAGTTTCAGTCAACTGATTGTTATGGAGAGTGTATATACATATAGTGTATGTATGCATATTTATAGATGCATTGTGACTTTTTATTCAAAAAATTCTGTCTACATTAATTTTTTTTTTTTTTTTTTTGCAGCTTATAGAGTCAAATAGGTGATAAGACTCCAATTTCTGGAATATGTTAATGATAACATGAGAAAGACAAAAAGCTGTTAGCTCAAGAACTTGCTTCCGCTCAAAATTACTAGCTAAATGTATATGGTGTAAGTTAAAAATATGATCAAAGATGTTGGGTATGTCGGTAATATGTTTTTAGAGATCCTCTGGTTCTATAAACTAGTATGATGAGAAATATTATTATCCCCATTATTAATAATTAAAAAGTTAAAGCAACGGGAAGTTAAGTAACCAGCCCAGGGGCATGCAAAATCCAATGCAACTGCAGCCAGTGTACTTTTAGTCAGGTTTTTCTAGTTTCAAAGGAGAAAATTTAAGTAGCTAGTAAAATCTAATTTTTAACAAGCTGAGGTAAGTGTTTGTTGAGTGTAAAACCAGACACCTTTATTTTATTTCCAAGTTTTAAGCAGAATACTCATTTTGTATTGCTTTCTCTCCTTTAATCAGATGTCGAATACCATATCTATTAGAAGGGGAAAAAGTGACTCCTTTTCAAAAAAATTAAATACTAAATGTAAATTAATATAATCTAAAGTCAAGACTAAGGCATTTGGTTGTCTTTTGCTTTGGTGTCATTTATGGATTTCCCAAGGTATTATATTCTATTTATCTGTTTTAATGATATGAAATTGCTTTTTCTACTGATTGGGCTACATAGATTGTAATCAGACTTAACCATAAAAGCTCTCTTTCCTTCAATTTTGTAATCCTGAAGCAGTATTATGATTATTAATTAGGCCCTTTCTGACTTTTCATGAAAGAACAATTGTTCAAAGAGTGATTTTCAAGTCATACCAAAAAAAAAAATGTTTGTTTTTAAGATTCAGGTTAGCCCTAGCAGTCCCAAATAAAAGAGGAAGAAAGGCTCTAAAATTTCTTTCCACAGGATTCAAAAATAGAAAGAAAGCAAGTAAAAATGACACGAATTCACAGAATATAGCAACAGTCACTTAAAAAGCTGACTATGCCACACATAGCTATTAATACTAATAGAAAATTGCAACATAATATCATAACCCAAATTCTGCCTTAAACCACATATGTCCCCATATGTATCTTTATTTTTGCTTAAATTTAGGATGAACTTATGCTGTTTATTTATATACCTGAAAACATGAGCAAAGTATTTCAAGTATTTTAGTAATTCTAAGACAGTACAGAATGTGGTCATAAAAAATCCTTTCAACCCTATGATTATATATACTCCATTGTCCGGACTATAATAAATTAAATGGACCGATCCACCTTCAATTCTAATGTCTGAAAAAGCATTTTAATGGAGCTCATCATCAGAAACAGGCCACAACTTCCCTTAAAAAGAAGCTAAATTACTCAGCATACACTTTTAGTAAAACTAATTCCCTTCAGAATGTCACTGGCCAAACCTTGACCTTTTGTGGTTTTCACTCAGTAAGTCACACATCTATTATAGAGAACACTGAAGTTGAATTTAGAGGTCTGTAAGAAAGCAAAAGAAATTGATTAATTGCCTTTCATAATATATTTGTTTAGCCCTCCAAGAAAATTCTTCTAACAGCTTAGGGTTAAATCTGTATTACAAATTAGGAAGAAGTAAATTGTCATTTTAGAAAGAGGGTTGGGAGGAAATTTCATAAACAAAAGAACTGGTCATAGAAAAACTGTGCATCTTCATTCCACTCTGAGGCAAAATGGTCCCCTTTTTTCAATTCTACTCTTAGAGAAAATAAACACCAATCAGAAAACAAACTAATGGCTCAGACAGGAAGTACATGACATTTGGGACTATGTCATATATATAGAATACAGTAAAAATTATTACCCAGGATTTTTAGAGACTGAAAATATCAGGGAAACATATAGTGGCTAGATTATAGCCTGATTACACACATCTCTGTGTAGTAGTATTTATATGTTTATCTTTAAGTTATGCAACTAGTTACATAATGATTATTTTATAGTGTGTACACACACATATTTTTAGCATATACATTTGTAAAAGATTTTGAAAATATTATCCTTACAAGAGTGGGGAACTGGCAGCATACTAAATTCTCAGTAAAATACTGAATATCTGAAAGCAAATACCCATGGGGTAAAGGCTGTCATCTAAGTTAACTGATGATGAGACTGAAGCACACAGAGGTCAACTGGCCCATGGTCACAGAGCTTGTTAAACAGTGAAATCATGATGCAGTCCCAGGCAGACCACCTTTCATGTCCATGACACGTGTAGTGTATTAGGATGCTTTTCCTCTCTTTTTTAATTCTCACAACAACCCTATGGGATAAGTAACTATCTTCCCTCATTTTATAAGTAAAGACGTCAATTCTCAGGGAGAGTAAGTAGTGTGCAGCTGCCAAATGGCTGAGCCTAAGTTGGACTCTGTCCTCAAAGTCCCATGTCAACCCTTTCCTTCCAACTGGCTCTTCAGGGCTGCTATAGTTTCCAGACTCTGAATGAGGGAGTCCATTTCCCTAACTCCTCTGCTCTGGTCAGTGCGGGTGTGAAAATTAATTTTATTACTGGTTCCTTATCCAGGTCTGTAGCACCTTAGTTCTCTTTCTCAGCTGGCTTTTTAAATATATTGTAATCAGTTTACAGTATTTCATAAGAGGTTTTTAATTAATACTCAATTAAAATGAGATCCAGAAGCACATGTGTGCATTACCTTCTCTTTCTTGGAAATACATATTTTGCAACCACAAAGATAAACAGGAATTATTCGGGGTGAGCAAGAGAAATTTTTTTTTTTGCCAATTACCTGATTTTTAACTTTTAAGGACACCATATAAAATCCTAGGTAGACGATATGCAATAACCTCTCCATTTAGTTACCAGATTTTTCTAATCTTTTTAGTCGAAAAATCCTTAACACACTTATCTTTGATTATATAGTATATCTGCATGTGTATTTTTTAATATAAATATATCTGTGAATATATCTATATTCATAGATGTAATTATAGTATATAATCAAATAGTAAGTTATATAAAGCCAAATAGAAGTGTAAAGAAAGAAAAGGAAGGTGTTATGTGGAATAACCAGAGAAAGCTATATAAAAATAAATGAATGTGCCTGGCCCAGATCTGGTGTTCAATAAATTATAGATATTATTAGTAGCCTTTATATCCAAGCAGAAGACCATGGTCTTCTACAAGTTCAGTAGGGGAAAGGGCAATTGGAGGAACTCAGGGGGATCTGATAGACACTCAATCCACAATAAAACGTGATGTGACATGAGAATTATCTATCAAGGGCTATCAGAGCACAGAATAACTGACAGCCTGCAAATCAGAGAAGATAGTTTCAAGGGTGTAACTGCTCTAGCTAGTCTAGGAGCCAATCAAGACTTGAGATATAGAAGGTGTAGGCAGGGTAGTGGCTGTGGAAACAGGAAGGACATTTTGAAGACTATATCAAGTGGGTCTTTGCTGACTGAAAAAAATAGACCCTAAAGCATTTTCTCTCATAAGTATTTTACTAACTGTACATTGACATCCAAGCATTTTCTGAATTTTACACCTGTTTCAAGGTCACGGAAAGACACAAAAACAAAATAATTTTTCAGTAATGATATTCTATAAATTAAACCCAGTTGAAGTCTTAGAATAATGACTATTTCCTCTAGCAGGGCCTCAGCAAATCATGTTTTTCTGCATTTAAGATTAATTGGGTAACTGTTATATTAAGACAGAACAGTGATGCCTCTTCATTAGCATTTGGTAATACATGTGAATAGTTATGCTGTATGTCATTAACTACAAGGCAGGCCAGTACAAGTGGGACAAGATGATTTGCAACTACAGAAAAGGAAGTTTCTAAACTCTTAATTTCCATAAACCACCACCAAGAAGAAAAATCTTTTCCATCTTGGTCATTCTGATTACATTTTCTCTCAAGGATAAAATCTCACATGGTAATACATTTACTTATTAAACCTAATCTTTATCCCTTCAATGTTCTTGGAATAGGGACGGAACGTCTTGAGGAAACTGTAGTTTACGTCAAGCAAAAACTTACAGGCCTTACACTTAAATGTATTGTTGAAAGATTCATGTCAAGTGGAGATGATTTTATTTTTAAAGAGTAGAAATGAAATGGATATATATATATACATACATATATATAATCTCACGCACATACACAAATCCTTAACCCTCTATATAACGGTCACTTGATTTGTTTTGAAAAGTTACTTCTAGGAAGAGTAACATCTGTCTCTTTAAGGACCACGAGAGAAAATGGAAGTCACTAGTGAGATGAGACTGGCTGTAAACCGCTCCAATGAGGTCCTGGGAATCTTGCTGAGAAAGGATATTTGGGGCTGGACTAAAACGTCTGTTGGGAAGTGGAAGGAAGAAAAAGGCAAAGTTAGGTAAGAGGGTTCTTTTAAAAAGAATGTAAACTTGAGTGAACTTACTTTCAATTTTACAGTGAAAGAAAAACAGAACGAGACTGGGCATAAGATATAATTAGATCGAATTAGATAGATACTTCTGGACGTGAGACATTTAGTAGCTTCCGATTCTCGAGAATGTTTCTGAAATGTCTTTTGAAAAAAATAGTTTTGGAGTAGGTCAGGGTCATACACAATTTTATTTGCCCCATTTTTAATGTAAATTATTTTAAAATTCCCATTTCTTAACTTTAAATCCTGGCACATTCATTAAGATTGATGACTTAGTATAAAAAGTAGGACCCACTTAATTTTATTTTATTTGTATTCTCAAAAACTGCCCTCTTGACCTCTGCTTGGGGATGGATGGATTGTTGACTGTGTAGCCCATCGCTTGTTTCGATATATTTTCCATAAGTACTTTTGTGATAAGAATTTGACATAAGATAATTTCTGGGACAATGGCTGTCAGCTGTTCTGGCTTCTCTCACATAAAACATCTGCAATTTTTAACACATAGTGTATTTTCCCTCTAAACCTTCATCCCAATTCCCACCCCCGCCCACTCACCTTGTTTCCATGCATACGGAAGCCTAGGTTCCTGATTCTTGACTGCGCTTCACTTTGATGGTAGGGGACACACTCGAATTTAAAGATGGCTAAGAAGGAAACCAAAACACCATGAAAGTAGCCACTTCAGTTTATTCTGCTTTAGATGAAGGGCTCTGGGTGTATCTGCCTACGTGCGGAATGCCCGGGTGCTCTGCCAAGCGACCACCTGAAGAGCAGGTACGACGGAGGGAAATGTGGGGAGCAGGGAGAAGTTATCTCAAGGTGAAAACTGCTGCCTGCTCTGGACCCCTTACAAGTCCTTCTTTCAAGCCGTCACCTCTTGCCTCCTTGCCACCATCGCCTCCATCAGAGCGGATGACAAAAGAGAAAAAGGCGGTTCGGTTGCAATGACAAGACTGTAACCGGCTTAGGCACACGGTCGCGTCCCGCTCTCCCACGCTCACCGAGACGCCGGGGACCTGGGAGGGTGCAGAACGAGCCGGAAAGCACCCAGAGCTCGTGTCGCCCTTGCGCGCTGTAGAGACCGCGAGGGACGCCCACGCGCGGTTACCACCCGGTCGCGCCCACGGGGAAACTACAATTCCCGGCAGGCCCCGC